CAGTATGAACAAAATATTAACTAAACCTGATTGGGGTAAAAATCCATTCTAAGAAATTTTTGGCTTCTTTTATCGATTTTTAAGGTTATATATATTGAGAACTTAACAGACGATTTAAAAATTAACATCACAAGGCTGCAGTTAATGTTAAGAAAATGGAAGCAGAGTACCCAAACATGGACAATTAAAATATCAAATGATTTATTACTCATCTGTTTAATCCCTTTCCTCATGGAAAAACTCATGTACCTTTTACTGGTGTTTGTAAGCCTCTCACACTCACAACCATATTAGTGTGGCACTGTTTAATAGTCAATCTACTCACTTATCACCATTTTCTTTTAAAAAAAATGACCTGTCCAAAATATGTTTGCCTAGACTTACTTATGGAGCCGGCAGCTCTTTGACTTTGGACGATTAAAACATTGTTCGAAAATTATTTACAGAGGAGCTGAAAATTAGGCTCTGCAAATAACCTAAAAGCATATAGACATAGAAGAAGTAGAAGAAGAATAAAGAGAAGAAGAGGCGACAGAACGAACGACGAAGAGAAAAGAAAAGGATGGAACGGAGAAAAAAAAAAACCCCACAAAAAAGAGCTCAGTGCTGCGGGTATTTTTGAACGTTGTCGTGATTGTTGACAGTGCACTTAACTAATGCTATCGTCAATTGCGATCAAAGGGTTGTCGGGAACGATCTCGGGTGTTGCTCTGTGGCTGTATACTGTACGGATGACTCCTGAGCTTCTTACTGTGCTGTCAGGATCAGCAGCATCTTAAATAGACAAACAAATCATTTTTGATAAAATATCGCGTAAAATACGTAGAATCAACACGTGAAATTGGTTAGTGCTGTCGCGTTGTTTTTAGCTAGCAAAATTAATAGCATAGGGTGCAAAGGGCCTACAAAAGTAAACGAACACGGTTTATATTTACCTATTTAGTGTTTTCAATACTAATTTTACAGGCGTTACTTTTTTTTTTAAATTGAATTTTGCGCCTTTTTTAACAAATAAGCTTTGGCCTAACGGCATAGGACACGGGTTTAAGTGTCTAGTTATTCCCCAGGGTATATGTACGCTCTTTGCATATGATTGGTGTCGTGATGTATCGTGAGTCACTTTTTGCGTCGCTTATTTTGTATCATTAGTAAACTGGATTCGTGGATTATGATATGTTGTTTAAAGCCTACCCTGCGGCCAACCTAAATCGATGCTTACCCAAAAAAGCATCCCCGAAGACACATAAAAGGCGATTGCATGTAAGACAGATCGTGTATGCATCTGATGATTCTGCTCGCATATGAGTATTGCTGATCTCCCCAATGAATCCCGCCAAGTGCTTAGCTACATGCCTAGGGTGAGAGATAAAGAGTCTCTACTCCACTGTTTGCCTTTGTGAGATTTAAAAGATATAATATAGAGAGATATAAGTGAAGACCCTAGACATAGACAGACGCTTTGCGAATTCACATTCCCTTCTTTCCGTAATCCGCTCCCGCACTCTCTTCCCTCTCTCTTTCTTCTCTCTCTCTCTCTCTCTTCTCTGTCTCTCTCTCTTCCTCTGGCCCCTCCCCTGTATACTCTCGCTCTCTCTCTCCTCCTCCACTTCCTCCTCTCTCTCTCTCTCTCACGCATAACGGCTGGGTAGGCACTGCTGCGGGGCCGTAAGCTGCTCTATCCATGCGCAGCACGTCATCATCATCATCATCCTCAGCGGTTAGCGCGGTGGCCGACGCTCGACGAACAAGCCGCCAGCACGGGCTCGGCGTTTCGACTTCTGTGCCGTGAGGGAGGTAAGGCCTGTTCACGGGTAGGGTTGTATGCCTGGCGCTCCCATGGGATCCGTTCAGCCGTACTGTTATGCTAGAGCGCTACTTCGGTCGTCGGGGACGACAATCGTGATCGCTGCGTTCATGTAAGGTTAGCAAAACCCACAGCAGTATGTATCTACTTTTATGTAAGGGTTAGGGACAAATCAGCGTATTCTATCTACATTATGTAAGTACAAAAACCAAGAGATGTACTACCTTTATGGTAAAGTATGCAAAGACCAAGAGATTATGTACCTACCATTTATGTAAAGAACAAGACCAGAGTATGTAACCTACACTTTATGTAACGGTAACAAACCCAGATGTAATGACCTACATAGTTATGTAATGTAACAAAACCAGCGCTATATGTACTACAATTTATGTAACGGGTAGCAAACCACAGAGCATGTACCTACCATTGATGTACGTAGTAACCCACAGAGAATGATACCTTACATTTATGTAACGTAGCAAAACCACAGTGTACCTGTGACCTACATTTATGTCGAGTATTAACACACAGAGCATGTATACCTAACTTTATGTACGTGCAAACACAGTGTATTTTTTTATACCTAATTTATTGTAACGTAACAAAGACAGCAGAGTGGGTATTTATTACCTACCAAAAGATCATGTAGTACCTACATTTATGTAACGTAGCAAAACCACGGAGTATGTACCTACATTTATGTAACGTAGCAAAACCACAGAGTATGTACCTACATTTATGTAACGTCGTCGTGTGTTTATCAGAGCTAGACTTTATAAACAATAAACTTATAACAAAATAACAAGTCATTATAACTTAAATGATCTACTTATTTAGTAGAGTAAAAAAATTTCCGGTTAAGGTAATGTGTTATTTCACGTGTTTATAACGTAACAGAAGCATACTTTGCAGCGGGCGGCGAATCATTAATAAATAATCATTAAACCCCACTCACGTAGTAGCAAGATACAATGGCATGCTAATATTTATGTAACATATAAAACATAACATCAGGGCATAATAATGACAAAGATTGCCAGGAGCCTGGAATACCCTGGAAGCGAAGATAGCGAGCGAGCGTACTACACTCACCGTGTAAGCGAGGGCGCTGTCGTAGCAGGGGTACGCATCCTGCCACAGCTTGGCCTGGCGCAGCGGCTTGGGCGGCAGCGGCACGCGCTCCCGCATGTAGGGAGCCTTGCGTCCCGTGTTCTTCAGGCAGCAGGCGAGCACGACAAACACGATGAGCATGCCGATGAGAGCGATGATGATGATGAACCAGATCTCCTTGTAGAACGGTGAGGCCACCACGAGTTTCGGGGTCGCCGTCGTCCTGACCCCGCCGCCGCCGTCGCCGGCGCCGTGTGACACGTCGCTCGTGACTGAGGCGTAAAGATAAAAATATGTAAATGTAATATGATAAATGTTAATTGAAATAAATTTTAAATAATAGTCATAAAAACGAAATAAAAAATAGGCGAAGAATAACGAAAATACTACATGTGACTAAAATTATCTGGAGGATGAGAATAGGAATTCGTGTGAAGAGAATGTTCACGTGAGTTTTTCACGTCGTTTGTTACTGAGCAATAAAAAGATGTAAATATGAACATGTATTTATGAAAGGTGAAAACACGAATTAGGGTAAAGATGTTTGGGTGAATACACTGCAAATTTTTTTAAACTTAGTGTAATAAAACATGAATGAAAACTATTTTACTCATCAGTAGGACGAGGCATTTTGGAGAAGAAAAGATTAGTAACATTTACTAAGCTACGTTTGTCTATGATTTGCCATAAGCAACTCATTCAGAGACAGCCTGCATGAGAGAGAGACAGAGAGAGAGAGAAAGAGAGAGAGAGAGAGAGAGAGAGAGAGA